AGTGCCCCGCCGTCGTCTATCTGAAGTGAAGTCGAGTCATCTGTGCTATATTCGGGCGATAGGTTCAGGTAAGAGGACATGTCTGGTGGCAGGGGCTGGGTCAACAAGTGCGCAGCCAGATCTGATGAAACCGCAGGTTGAGGTTGAAGAAAGTGATTCTGTTGATGGGCAGCGGTATTCTGTTGGTGGCAGTGATGCTGACAGTGACAGTCCTGGTGATGGTGGCTACTATTTTGGCCATGTTGGTCGGCACCGGCATATGCAAATGGGGGCCCAATAGAAAGCATCGCAGCAGCCTGAGCAGGAGGGAGAACCCGAGCCAGAGCCTCAGCTATAGTTGGCGTCGAGGCGGCATCTGGCAAAGACGCAGGCTGGGCTGCAGGCGTGGACGTAGGCGCAGGCATGGGCAGAGACACAGACATGACAGGCTGTGGATGGCGCCTTTTCCGGGGACGGCCCATGGGCTTCTGCGGCGAGTAGACACATGCGATGCCTTCCTTTTGGCAGCGCGAGCAGCCGCCGGGCTCTTTGGTGCAGGCGACTTTGCGGAATCCTAAAGAAGAGGCGGGGGTTTCGAATCAGAATCAAGCGTCTCTGCAAAGGCAACTGCATCTCCATCCATCCATCCATCCATATGTCGTCGTCTCCGCCTCTCTATACATGCTGTACACTGGCTGTATACATGTATTGTCTGATATGGATGCATCATCTTCCTTCAGCTGGGGATTAGCGGGGACTCACGGCACTCGTCGCAGGCCCGATGCTTCTGCGGGCCGGCCGAAGCGGCCGTAGCCGTGTTGATGCCGGACGCCATGGCCGCGAAGCGACTGATCTTCACAGGCGCAGGAGGTGAGTAGCAGAAGCCAGCGCGGTGCGACTGGCTATCGCTGCCCGGGCTTCCGTGGAATCCGCAGCCAGGCCTGATAGGCGGCGCTCGTTAGAGAGGGGCGAGAGAGTCGTGCTCCAGCTCTCAAAAGTCTCCGAGATGCGGTCACAGCTCTGGCGGCACAGAAAAAAATGCGGGTTGGGGCGCACGAGATTAATAAGAGGCGCCGGATTATTAAGGCGCAGACTCGGAGATGGAAACTAGGAGACTGTAAAGCGTGGATGAGCGAGCGATACGCGCGTTGAGTGAGTGATTCTCTGATGCAGGTGAGAGAGGAAGAGCGAGATCGAGGCAGCGAGGATGCAACAGGGCAGGGTGAGGGCCAGTAGAGGCCAGACTCGAGGCTCGGCCAACGGGTCAAACAGCGCTGCGAGTTCGCTGGCTGGAGGTCTAGGTACTACTAGTAACTTGCTCGTCGAAGTACCTGGCTCGGGCGGTGGAGATACTTGCACTTTCGGCTCCGGGAGTCCGTTACCAGCCTGTAGGCCAGCGGGAACCTTGATGGCGCGGTGACGGTTGGACGCCACCAGGTATCACATCGTCTTGGCGCACCAAAACATCCAGGCCGCTGTACCAACAGAGTATCCAAGTACCTCCATGCTTCACAGGCTACTAGGATCCTGGTACCTCTATCAAGTTACAGCCAGGTGACATGATTTGTCAGCAAGTCATGGTTGATCTCGCTGTCAAGAGCGCTGAAAGTTGCCGCTGGATACGCGAAATTACGGAGCCATGGCTTTGGCAAACGAAGCGTTGAAGACGACCTGCAAGCACAAAACATTAGTAAACAGGGGGCACAAACGTGAGGTGAAAAGCTTTATAAGCCGCCAGTCAATCAAAAAGAGCTGTTGGTGGCGCTAGTTCTGGTCTGGGGTAGAATAGGTCCAAACATTTTGCCCAGAAAGAAAAGAGAGAGAGAGAGAGAGAGTTATGACATGATATATGGGGGTTATCGCGCGTGTTGGTTGCAGCAACGACAATGTCTAACCAAGCAAGAGTGCATCTGAGCAATGACCATATAAAGCCCAAGTCGCCTGTTGGAGCCAAGGATGGAAGAAGCAGCAAATGCATAATGCTCGCTATGTAGGAGACAACTATTGCGGCTGGAGCTGGCGTCGTCCTTGCGTCCTGAGTCAGATGGGGATGCATCTGACGTTGAACAATGGCTTAATTCATCAGGCAATGACTTAGAGACTACCTGCATGTCTTACATGTCCAGTTATTGTTCATCCACGTGGATTTACGATGCCAAGTGCGGAATAGGAGTACTACTAGTCGAATTCCTCTCCCAAGCCAGGTCTTAGTTTCACGCCCTTAAAATTGCTGCTACTATCTCTTGTTCATCAATACGCCCTCAAGCTTCCCTACCACAGCTTATTCCACTTGACAAGGAACACAAATAAAGTTGGCTCTTTTGTATCCAGCAAAGTAAACGTAATAATCAGCGGCATTCTGCATATCGTCCCCCCACAAGAGCAGCCGCCATCTGCTGCCACCCGAGCCCTCCCTCACGCTTCGACCTATCAGCAGCCTCACTTCCACAGCACAAACACGCTTGCCCGTGCCAGCTGTCACTTGAGCCCTGCCACTCTCTATCCCCTTTCCATCATGGAGAATAAGCCTTTATATACCTGAATAGAAACAATCCCTTCAACTCGGACGTGGGGTAGTAGTTAACCTGCTCCCCTCCCAAGGGAGAGAGTAAGTGCCACAGCTGGCAAACGCTTCAAGACTGACTGATCAATGCTAACCCTGCCAACAGCCTGGGTGCAAATCCCGGCGTTCGAAATGCCAATCGGCCCATTTTTTGACGTTTTCGCTTCCTCTCCTCCAAAGAAGATTATCTGATGACAGCGCCGTTAGTGTTTTGGGCTACTGATACTGACAAGTTATCCAGTATCCCAGTTATATTATCCAACCCTACAGCAGCCTTAAGATAGCAAATGGTTTATGAATGTTTTAACTTAGCCTACTATTAACACAAATACTACCTATACGGCTATAATACATCAAGTATTATTTGCGGATGAAGAATACTTTAAAAGGAGGGGGGGGGGGGTTATTTAACACCCTAATTTCATTATCTAACACCCTAGCTATAGTACAATAAGGTAGCCAATCTATATATTAAAATGAATGATTACTAAGTATAATATTTAAAATTAGCAATTATAGTAGCAGTAGTAGCAGTAGTAGCAGTAGTAGCAGTAGTAGCAGTAGTAGCAGAAGGTTCCAGGTTGCTAAAAGTATAGAAGAGTTAGGTGCTAGCAGCAGGAGCAGTAGCAGCTGCTTTTAAATACCCTTTGGATTTGAGGTGTCTAGTCAAAGCTGTTTTAGTTCTATAAACGAATTCACAAATACGGCAATACTGTTGTTTTTTTTTTCAGCTTGATCTTTTGCAGAAAGCGTTCGATGTTGCAATGTCTTGATGTAGAAAACGCCTTGGATTTACCGCCCTGTGCAACCCTGACTCGCTCTTTGTGGATCTTTGTAGAGTTTGGTCTTGAGAGATGGACGTTTAAATGTCGGCGTGAAGAAAAGTTATGGCTGCAAGTTAAACAGCGATATCTCTGATTACGCGGCACTGGAATTTCCCAGCCCTGTGCAAGCCTGGCTTGCTCTTTATGAGCTTTGCTCTCGAGATGTTTGTTTAGTCTGGAGCGATTAGGAAAGTTATGGTCGCAAGTTGAACAACGATATCTCCCAGATGCTTTTGCTTCGGTTACTGATTCTTCCCTTTTCCTATTTGCGAATAGATTCGCTTTCTGGCATCGGTTCTCTGCAATCCAGCAAGTTGGGCTTCTATCCTGTCAAGGTCGTCTGGTACTTCATTGAGAGAGGCACGGCTGCAAAGATGCAGCCAGGTTACAGATTCTAGGTAGCATTGAAATCGGAGAAGAAGAATGATAGAGAGCTAAGATCTAGGATGACAAGTGAAAATAAGCTATATTGGTAAACGAGGTTTAAACTCTATTAGCGAACGCCCTATCATCGTTCCTTCCAACAGGCATAACATTGATCCATGCTACTGCTGCTACTGCTGCTACTGCTAAATCTAGTGTATATGATAACATGAATTAAACAACTTCAATGTTCCTTTATACATTCCTGTACATGTAGACTTTCTGCCCTACTCTACAGCGGGGGGTGCTGTATAAAAATTGCCAAAGTACAAAGACGTACAGCTTTAGAACACATGCAATGAGATATTGTACATTAAACAGAAAATCTCAGTAATATGTACAAATGTTTGTGCTGTGGGATTCTCCCCCTCACTGGGTATTATTTTCCGAGTTTTTCCTCCTTTAGACCGTTGACTGTTCAATTATCATGACAATTGATAACACCGCTAGGGCGCCACATACATGCATATACCCGGGCAATAAATTCGTGCCTTCAGAGCTACAACAATCCTAGGATCACTATATCAACATAGAAATATAACAAATTGTAGAATATCGGAGAAATCAGACGTCAGGCCGCCAAATCAAGCAACACGAGCGTATTATAGGGTATGCAGGTACAACGTGCAGTAGAGTAGCAATGGATCTCAAAGTCAAGATTCGCGGCAGGGATCGTCCATCATACAGTGCTTGAGTGCCAATCTAGCCAAATCCCGCCCACAATGATGCCACCAAGCAATCACTTCTCACTAAGATCACCATTAGCGTTGCCACCGCCCCTTGTAGAGGATCCATCGCATCACCTCCCGATAGGCTGAATATCCTCCGTAGCACATGTTGTCATGTTCTGTGCGATGGCCCTAGCAGAAACGCCACGAGCGTTTTGGAAGCTTTAAGCGTCACCAGACCGCCTTTGGCTCTCTTTTCTTGTCTCACACTAATAGCGGCACATGGCTTAGGCAGAACCTGGTTATACTTGCACAAGCAAACAGGCCTAAAGTCTTACTCACATGCGGCATTGGACCGAGACTCGTGCTTCTTGTGCGTCATGATTCAAAAGGCCAGGCGGGTGCATATCGGCTGACTGGGAGACAGTCCTCAACGCAGACTGCGGTTGATCACACAATCGCAAACGGTGGGAGAGGAGACGAGAAGAGAAGACCAGATAGAAAAGACTGGCGTTGATAAAACCAGCCAACTCGGTCGCCACCATGGCTGTGCTCTCACATGTATCGTCGCTGTCTTCGCGCAGAGCGCCAGACCTCGATCTCAGCAGCATCGCCAAAATGCCCACTCCCGGCCTCCCCTACGCCGTACGGACAGCCTACGCCGATGCCTTCAAGCTCGCTGTTGCTGATGGCCTCGCAGAGCCTCTGCTGATTCCCTTTTGCTTGCTGGCGCCGTTTGTCGTGCCCGCGCTGTGGTTGGCCGTCCCGCATAGGCGCCGGCCCTGGTTCTATCACACGAGGTGGCTGGCCATGGCGCTGATTGTCTGGTCCAATGTCTATCATTTGGCGTATACGTCGAGCACGAATACGGCGTGTGCGTATGCGGCTGGGCTGGCGTCGACGTGGGGCACCTTGTTGAGCATGAATCTGCTCGTTTGGACGAGGCCGCAGCTTGAAGCTGCCAGGGTGGTGCGGAGAGTCAAGAAGGATAAGGATGATGGTTTGATCAAGGAAGCGGATGGTGAGATGCACACCGAAGTGAGATCAACCGGCCACAATGGAGGATCTGAGAACGTGAATGGAAGTGGGAATGAGATCAGAGCGCGGAAGACGATATCAACGAACGGAACTCTAAATGCTGAGAGGCATGATGAATTCGAACATGTCTGGGAACCTTACCCCTCGGATGGAGGCTTCTTAGAGCGACTGGCATGGGCGACAGATTTGATACTTTGCTTCCGATTTTCTGGTAAGTAATTGCATATAATACATTGAACTTTAAAATGATAGCCTCACTGACAGTTTGATTCATTCAAGGCTGGAACTGGTCTGTCCCAACCATCCCCCGGCCTCAGATCCCTCTCGAAATCTCTCATGGAGACAAGGTCGAAGTAGACGCCATTCCCAAAACCAGCAGAAGTGGGTATACGCGTCCCCTGAGCACCGGCGAATTCGTCCGCGGGCGCCTCACCAAGATTGTCATCTTCTACTTCGCCCTAGATTTCCTCTCCGTGTACATGAAGAAAGATCCCTACTTCATCCTCGGGCCCGATCATCAAGGCCAAGTCGCTCTCCCACCACATCTCCGCGACTTCCCACCATGGCTGCTCCTCGCATACAGAGAAGCGTTTTCCCTCCTCGGCGTATACGCCGCCATCGAGGCCGTCTTCAGCGTGTCTGATCTGGTCCAGTACTGGCTCGCCAACCGCTTCTATCCTTCCCGCGGGGCGCTGTGGCAGTTTGCCTCCACTTTCGGCTCCTTTGAGCAGATCCTCGCGCGAGGCCTCGCCGGCTGGTGGGGAGGCTGGTGGCACCAGACTTTTCGTATGCAGTTTGCCGCGCCGGCGACGTACCTCCTTCGAAGAGGGTACTTGAAAAGGGGCACGCTGCTAGCCTCTGTCGCTACAATGGTTGTGTCCTTTCTGCAGTCGGGATTGCTGCATGCTTCAGGGAGCTTCACCTCCACGCCCAAGACGAAGCCTTGGAGGGCGCCGGCCTTTTTCTTCCTCCAGATGGTGGGTATTCTGCTGCAGCAGTCGACGGCGCATCTTTTCAGACTGTGTATGCCGCTGCGGCTGCCGCGGTTTGTGTCTCGGATGGTGAATCTCTTGTTTACGTTGGCGTGGCTGTTTTTCACGGCGCCCCTGTTCATGGACGATTGTTCGTCGACGGGGCTGTGGCTCGTTGAGCCTGTACCAGCATCTCCGCTTTTGTTTTTGGGATTTGGCAGCGAGGGTGATCATTGGTGGCGTTGGGATCGGGATCATTTGCCCAGTTTGTATCTTGGAGAAACGTGGTGGCAAAGCGGGATAGCGTTATAGATGCAATGTATATTATAAGTCTCAATTTCTCTAGGAATTGTTACATGGAAAAGTATAGACGGTATGTTTGGTTGATTCATGCTAAGATCAAAGCTCAAAGCTGCGTTGCGAGCGATTTATAATAGCTCATCACTTGATAGATCTTGTATTATTTATAAAATCTTATTTCTACCTCGCTGTGGCAAGGCGAGTTGTCTCTTCTCTCAACCAGGCAATCACCTCGCCATACCCCGTTTGTCGCCGATGTAGCACGTCCAAAAAGGCGGAATATCCAGTACTAGAATCATTTCAGCAGTGTCCCACAAACTCTTTTCTTTTTTTTTTTAAAAGAAAAAAAAAAAGAAATCTAAAAGAGATCTTACGCTATAACTTGCGACATGCGAATCTCGCACGCATACTTTTCGAACCGCTTCTTCCTCCATTTACTCGTGAGAATCAGAAACGCAATATCGACCACCTTTTTTATAGTATCTAATTCGTCGCAATTTAGCACACTTGAAACGAAAACTCTTGAGGCTGCTTTCCAAACTTACTGATTATCAGAGTTGCTGTAAGTTGGGTAGACGTAGACAAGCATCGTATATAAGCCCACATCTTTAGCGCAGTCTCGGAGAATGCGCCGTGTAAAGAGCTGATGACAGTGTCGACTGAATTGTGCTCCGTATCGAAAAACATGAGGTGAGATTGGTATTTAAAAGAGTCTATATATAATGCAACCTCACGTCAGTCAACCGGCAAAGATGGAGTGGGATGAGTAATTATAGCCACTAACTGAGCACTTTTCGTTGAAAATTTTGACCAGGGCATCGACCAAAGTCAACGGTAATAGAGGCTGATATATCTGTGAGAGAGATGTACGGTTAGCAAAACTTCAAAATCTTTCATCACAAAGAAACTATCTGCAGAGGGAGCTGTACCAATATCTTTGCTTGAGCCTCGATCTTTCGTAATTTCTAATGTTTTGCAATCGATAAAGGTGCCGCAATATGGGAATTTAGCCCCCTTGGCAAGCTTTCTCACAACCTCGCCGTCAACGTCCATATCAAAATTCACGAGCGTCTTATCGTGGCCTACTTCCACGCCATATTCAGGAACCCCTTGATGCATAGTCTCGACAAACTGAATGGCCTTGTCCTTGTCTAGCGTGATGAGTAAAAAGTCGTCAACAAGCCTCAGCAAAAGACTATCTGGTTCTTCTAGAAAATCCAGGTGCTGAGCTTCCAGATCAGCATAAAAATAATTGCACAAAAATGTCGACAACACGGAGCCCTGTGGGATGCCCTTCTTTTGTCGATAGTATTTCTTCCCGATTTTGATGATATTGCGCCCAACATGCTCAGACAAGAGTGCTAAAAGACCGCGAGTATCATGACGTTGAAAGGCAGCACTATCGACGAACACGGTGTTTTTCTTCTTGCTCCCCATGCCACTCTCCAAACGATCGAGAAACGAAATTGGTTGCTCCTGAGCTATGGCTGAGGAATGCCACCGGCGTACGGGCTTGGTCGCGCTCTTCCTATCTGCAAGGCCCAGTCGCTCGCCGGGCTTTACTTCTGCATGCTTTGTTATAATATAACGACTCTGGCTGGGAACCGACCTCATCAACTGCAGAACCGATGACTGGGGTATTGTATCAAAGGCAGCCTTAACATCTAGTTTTGCAAAGTAAAATGTATGATGCTTTTCTGGTGCTAAAGAGCCTTTGAAAGCTTTTAGACGCTCGTAAATATCACCAACTGCAAAAAGGGCTGATCCCAGCTTGGACGGGTTCATGAGCTGCACTTGGTTAGCACGAATTACAAATAACCCTCCCTCCTAGCAAAAATAAGAGAGGAAAGGGCTAGATTCATGGTACATACAGTTTCTAATTTGAGCGCCGCGTGGATGGGCTTGAGGAGCGAATTGATGCTGGGCCCAAGCAACCTGGCGCGTTTACTGTCCGTCATTTGCCTGCGTCTGAGATTCATGATGGGACGCAGCTTAGTACCCTTGGGCAAAAGTCTCAATTGGCTAAACCCAAGCCGTCTGGAATCGAAAATTCGTTTCGCCTCCGTCACCTTGATCTCCTCAAACATTCCTTCTTTGAGGCTCGACATCGAAGGCTCTGCCACTAGCCGCCAGACATCGTGGCGGAAATAAAAAACCTGAAAGCGATGGGTATTGGACTCTGTGACATAAAAATTGCTGCGAATTAGGGGTATCAAAAGGGAATCAAAAACATAATAAAGAAATTCGTGAAATATTTCGTAACGTTTGTTCATGTCTGTCTGGCTAGTTTTCTGGCCTTGACAGCTAGGGGGCTCTAGCCAAGCAACTTCCGTGACCTTAATTTTTGTGGTGAGTGCATAGCGACGGCTATCTCGTTTTATGGGGTTGAAAATTACCTTAAACTCTTGTGCTATCTCATGCAGTGAGATCATCTCGAACCGTCGCAGCTTGATGAAATGATCTACTTTGCGAAGGAACACAATTTTGTTATGACAGTCCTTCTCACGGCCCCAGAAGTTGTCTGGGATTATTTTTGAAAGGACCGCCTGGCAGAATGCAGAAACGCATGTCGTTGGGCACGATAATTCTATAACAGACTTGTATTCAGGAAGGGTCGACGTGTTTGCGTGATGCCTCCGAGCTTGTCGTTTGAGAGGAGATTCTGCTTGGGTTATCCGACCCGGGGCTAGGACAGAAACCGTTGGCATTTTCTCATCTCCATTTCTGTCCTTATTTCCGTGAGATTCGTCGAGGAATATCGGGCAATAGTATCTAAGAAGTTCAAAATAAGAACAACGCGCATGCAAAATCTGCAATCGTCGTACGAGGTCTCTTGTTGTGCCCCTTAATCGCTTGGGCAACTTCGGCAGCGCCTTCTCAGTCGACCGTTTGGCGATTCTCATACTTTTCTTGATTTCATCTTCACGAAATGTATAATCGTGAAATTTTTGAGCTGTTTGGTTCGTATCAGTTGGAGAAGTAAAGACATTATGTAGGTTGAATTGGCGCGGAAATATGTGCATCATAAGTTTAGTTGTGTGAACCTCGTTTTCCTGTTGAGGATTTATGGGATCCGGGCAATTCTCTCTGGCATCTGCACTCGTTCTGATATAGGGGTAACGATTAAGAGCATCTATAGATTACTTAGTAGTTGTATCCAGAGAGGTGACAAGCGCGTCTAAGGTGAACCGACGTACGGATATGCTTGAAGCCCGCATGGACTAGGCCTTTCGCGGTGGTTGTCGGCTTTGCGTAGAATATTCTGCTGCGAACAAGAGTAATTTCCGTGGGTTTGCGTGGTTGAGGCTTCAAACTAGGATTTGGCGTCCCGGCATCCAGCTCAGACAAGGGAATACCTGGCAGGAAGTGATTAGAGTAAGAGCATAGCGAAGATCTTCCGAGTATCGACACCAACCAGTCAGTTGTAAGTAGTTGTCTAAGCCTGAATCAACCTTGAGGAATACAGAGCATTCAGTTAATAGGTTAATCATGACTCTTTCGCCGGCTTGGCCAAGCAGAGCCAGGAGGTGCGGCCACGGCGTTTCTCTCAGCGCCTTGACGCGGAAATTGGGATACTGGCTGTATACTTCGGGGATGGTTGACCGGGCAGATTGATCATCTCTGGCACTTTTACGGAAGCCATCACAAAGCAGGTGTTTGGGCCATGATCCAGCCCGCTCTCTAGAAAATAGAAGCCAGATGACAAAGTCAAGAATCTACAATTGGGCCATTTAGCCTCGCCTGTTCTACCGATTGCACTTGGGGGCACAGAAACCGACCTCAGACTGCTGATCAAACGACGAAGCTATTCCGTTAGATATAGTCACATAAGATTCATCTCCCTTCTGAGAAAAGGACAGCCATTGCCGCCATGTGCTTTCCTCTGATTCAGACCTTGGTGCTGGCTGATTGCAGCCAACTAGAGCAGTATCAAGCAACTGCGCAAGCTGCGCTTCTAGTTTGCTTGCGCCTATGCTTGATCCCACAGCCGCAATCTTCTTGCGTCTGACCTTTGAGGAATCTGGGAGGCTTGCGAGCACATGCTGCCTTAGAGTGCGAACGAGAGGGTAGTGCGGCAGCAACAGGTCCTTTTGTACAGGCGTATAATTTATGGACGAAGCAGACACCTGATTGTCCGGCACGCTGTCTGTGCCATGTTTCCTTTTCTTGCCACGAGACATTTGTGGATGAATGGCAACGGCCGTAAGTTCGCGTCGTTTCGTATATGATTCGCGTCAAGTTAGTGTAAATGCGAACAATGAACCACTTCAAGTGTCAAGCGCCACCAACGATGGGCCGCTGTGGCTGAGACGGGTGGCGTTCAGGGCCACTGTGGCTTTGGCTCGATAAGATTGCCCGCACTGCTGCTCAAGCTTCGATGAGCTCAATTGGGAGAATGGGGACTGCAGATTGAATATGCACACGCAAATCCAAAACATCAACACCGTATCATTAAGGGAAAAGCCATCCAACACCCCAATTCTATTAGTTTATACCCCAGCTATAGCTCAGTAGCAGCATAGCAGCAGTAGTAGCAGTAGCCTATAGATGCTATAGTTAAAGAGCTGGATACATGTAACTTTACAATCAGTGTCGCTGTGGTGTGTAAAGGTTGAGAACTGTGTGCTGATTATTTAAGGCCCTTGAACTTCTTTCTCTTCGCGGACCTTGGAGCTCTAAATCCTGCTGCCCTTAGTCAGAGCTGAGAAATTTCTCAGCGCGGCACAGCGCCACTGACCCTACATTAGTGCGAGCCTTGGGCTTTAGCTACAGGCAGGCACTGGGGCCTTACAGCACACCAAGAACGCTACCGGCATACCGTGCGAGATGCCTTTCCGTGCTAAGAAGCTGTCATCAGGATTTGCGCCGGCAAGGGTCAACGAGGCTCCGCTGAGTCCGCGGCCGAGGATCGCGATCGCGATCGGAGAGAGCAGAACGTGGAAGCCCGGTCGCCTTGTGGTTACCGATATTGAGATCAATGCAGAATATCGGGTGCGATGCGCTACTTGGCGGGGGCATCTGGAGTCTCTTTCGACGTCTGTTGTCGACGGCGACATGCCCTGCCAGAGGGCAAACAGACTGCGCTGCAACCCACGGCTTGACCTGGCACAATCAGCTCCGCACGAGGACCCGTCCGGTTGAGCTTCTCATCATGATACAAGAGGTGGTGGTGGTGGCACACAACTGCCGAAGCATTGGTGATTAATAGCGTGAAGGCTGGTTACATGTGCCTGGATCCAACGCTGGCAGGGCTAGGCTCTCGATAGGGCTCAATTGCAGAGCCGCAGCTGCTCGTATCGGCATGCAGCGGCATGCAGGTGAAATTTCACTGGAAATGAAGGGGTCTCGGGATATGGAGCTGCCAAATGTGGTGGCTGCTGGGCATCGTTCGGGTTGCATTTCACATCAGAGGTGGTTTGATTTCCTCGCCGAGATGGCAGCACCTGTGTCGCCATTGATGTGACTCTTTTTATTGAAGAAGCCGCCACTACTGCTACGAGTACTGTCCGTTGCTTTAGTATTAGATCTCCGTCCTCAAGCCGAAGCCCCTGATTCTCACATGAGTAGATAAGGGATGGAGGCGCATCTGCAGGGAGACAGACGCAGCCAAGCCATGCAATGAGTGCATCAGGATCAACTATTTTAATTACATGTAATTACCGCCGGGACGCGGGAGACTTTGCCGCGGTGACACGGTTTTTTTATTCTCTCGTCCATCGGCTCCCTATTCTTTCCTTTTCCGGACTATCCAGTATGCATGCATCGCGGCAGCGGAACAAGGGAGCGAATTGCGATTGAAACGATCAAGCCGTAAAAAACGTGAAACATATCTAGTCTGGCGCTGCGTGGCTAGCAGCACAACCTGAATCACTAGAGGCCTTCAGAGAAGCTGAGGAAGAAAAAAAAAAACTTCTGGGCTCTAACAACGGAGACTAGGCCGCCCCGTCTACCTCAAACAGCTCCAAAGCCCCCGTGCGTTAAACGTTAGTGCGTTGGTCCTAGGCTTTGCAGAGCACTAGTACCTACAGTACAGCTCCATGGGGAGAGCAGTGACATTTCTCGGGGCTTGCCGGGGTCTCAGAGCAGCAGCACTGGATGCGCAGACCTGGTTGGGCCAGGGCGTCGTACTGTATCCGGCCTGCAGGCTGCAGCACGCTTCCAATCACCGCACTCGCCATCCCCTCTCCCACGTCTCACAGGGATAAGGATAAGCTACATGTGCCTCGAGGCCACCGGCCATTCGCTCGCCAGCAAGAAAAACAAACACGGCCGCTAAGCTCGCAGAGAAACACGACGCACCTCCAGCTCCGGCAGAAGCGTATATCGATGCCTGCAGGTGCTGCGCGGGCCTTTCTCGACGTGCCCTGACCAGTCGTTTCCCATCCCTCAGCTCAGTCCGCCGATCGTCCATTGCAGCGTCGACCGCGGGTGATGCTCTGGCTCGCGCCCAGGCCATTGGCAACATGGACCCGGACCTGGACAGCGGCCTGCGCGAGGGCCTGGATGGTGTTGAAACCAATGCCAGTGCCAGTGCCAGTGCCCATGCCCATGCCTATTACGACAGCCAGACGTCAATCCCTAACCCGCCTGGCTTCTTCCCCGGCCCTGCCCACGACAACGACATCAATGCACAAGTCCTCGCCGACCATGCAGCGGCCACTCTAGATCCTGACGGCTTTTACAAGAACTTCCAGCCAGCGCCCGGCCCCGAGGGCGAACCGCAGTCTCTCCCAATGGCCTCGTCAGTCCCGCATGCGCTGCCCTCCAACGCTGATGGGGCTGCTGCAAGACACCTGCAGCCGCCTGCAAATCGCAGCGCTGGCCGTCAGGGTCTGCGCTCCGCCTCGAGCCCCCTCGACCGCAGGGCAGCCGCGACAACGAGATCCTCCTCAGCCGTCAGAGCCCCCAGCGTCAAAGATCTGAAGAAGCGCTTCGATCAGAGCGGCGGAGCCAACTCCATTCCACGAGCTCCTCCACGCCAGGAGGTTCCGGTTGCTCGGATCAGGCAGGACTCCATCAAGCCCAAACCAAAGCCCAAGCCGCAGGGCCCTTCTCCCTCTGCGTACTCGTCAGCAGGCCCTCGTCCTGGCATCCCCGCCCCGGGCTCGTCCAAGCAGCCCTCGTCGGCGGCCTCGACCGCGTCGTCAAACCGCCCTCTGCAAAAATCGAGAACCGTTGAGCGCGACCAAATGCCGGGTAGTTCGCGGTCGTTTGCCAACCGCATTGGAAACCACCCACCTCCACCAGACACGTCCGCTAACGGGAACTCTATTGCCTCCAGCTCTCTAACACATCGCCCGCACAATTCCCCACCATCAGCCTCCCAACCAGCCGCGCCATTGCCAAAGTCTAATTCCCAGTTCCCAGGCCTACTGTTCGGTGAAGTTGCCCCCGGTCAGCACAACGCTGCCGCGGCCGGCTTTGGCATCGACAACCTCCGCCCTCGAAGAACGTCCGAGTCCAATGTAGATGGCCTCGTGGGGCGTCAACGCAGCTTCTCCGACTTCGAGGCCGAGCCTGCATCCCCATCCAGCTGGTACAGGGACCTCCAGATGCCCCGAGGGAGTGCACCCAAAGCTCGTCACGCGCGATCTCGCAGCGATATATCCATACTGCCATTTATGCACCACAAGTCTCCCGCATCTCCCACAACGACGATAGCAGCACTCGCTGCGGCCACGGCAACGGCGACAGCAGTTGCAGCAGCAGAAGTCGCTGCTCCACCTCCACCAGCCTCGCACACGCCAGCAGGTGCCAGCTCCAAATTGCCCGTCTCTATCAGCAGGAGATTGGCCACTCCAAGCGACTCCAGTCCCACTTCCTCACGATCGAATTCGCCCTCTACACTCCGGAGACCGCCAACAAATGTTCGTAGCAGCAGCAGGCAAGCCAAGGCGAACCCCCCCACGACTCGAGCGAAAACACCTACCCAAACACCTCGAAAACAACCCCCATCGGGCTTAGTTACGCCCAATAGCAGCAATAACCGGCTCCAAGCGTACGTGTCCGCTGCACCGCCCAAGCTTTCACCGCCTCTTAGGAGCTCTCGGCCACGGCAACCAGTCTCTGTAGCGACAACAGCAAGCTCCCGAATGAAGGAAACGGCCAAGACGAAGCCCCCCGCCCGGCCAACTGCCAGGGACAATGTGAAAGATCCCTCTTCCTCAAAGACATATGACCCGGCGAAGCGTAAGATAATAGCGGTGGGTCCTATAGACTTTGAACAGCGTCGAGAACATATTCGATTGGCATACACAAAGACCATCCGCGAGAGCCAGGCTTTTGAAGCTCGTCAAAGAGCGGTGGAGAGGAGGAAGAAGCAAATGGAGGAGGCCAAAGCCAAAGCTGAAGCCACGTCTACAGCTACGGCTACGAATTCACCTACCACTGTGACTGCGGGAGAGGAAGAAGATGATAATGCAAACAAAGAAAACGCAGAAGGGGATGCAGCTCCAAAAGCAGAGACAGGGACACAGTCAACGGGCCAGACCGACAGCCGTCCCCCCCAGTCAGGGCTGGCAAATGAGCTGCCTGGGGAGCTCGCAGCTGATCACGGCACTGATGCTGTGGAGAAGGGCGAGTCCCTTCCAGAAACCCCGACAGATGCAGCCTCGCGCCCAGCACTTGGCAAGGATAATGATTCGCCAACACTGGGCCTCCCTGGAACCTTCCCTGGAACCTCACCGTCCGCTAACGTAACAAAAGCCCAACGACCTCTGTCGACCATCTCATTTACTTCTGCTGTTACGGAGTTTGATATAGAGCCCCAGGCAGAGCTTTCTGACCTGGCTATGTCCGATCAGCCGCTCAGCCCACAAATAATAGTGCCGACGCGAGAACGCTCTCACTACCGAAGCCCCTTTGACGATGATGACGACTTTCCATCGTCGCCGCCGCAGCCATCTGCTGCGGCTCGTCCTCATCCTCATCCTCACCACCCCGTCCACGACCGCGGCCACGACCACGACCACGACCACAACCACAATCTCAGCCATCAAAATTACACCAACCAAGAAAATACCCCAGTGCCCTATAGCCAGGTTGACGACCAAGAGCAGTTCAGTCCCGAGGCTTATTACAACAATGAGCCTCAAGAGGCCTCATTGGAGCCCCCCGTGCAACAAAGCTACCAGCCCATTGTGAAGATTCTACCACAGCCTTCAGTTGACGAGCTTCCAGC